ATCTCCAAAATTATTTTTTAATAACTTCCGAATTATCAATATAAAACAATCCGAAAATAAGTAATCGATTAATTCTATAACATAATTTCAATTAAAATCAGGTTTGAACAAAGTATGAAATACGAGTAATGTTAAACATAAATAGCTGATTAGTTGTAAGCAACGAACCAATTTCCTAGTAAGAGAAATAATAATATTACCAACCGTTATTGATTGGCTTTTGTTGCGTTCATTTATAATATAACAGTCTCTGTATTTTAATAGAATTTAAAATAGATGCAAATAATGAATTAATATAATTAATGAATATATATTACGGTCAAAATTCGACCATAAATCTTAATCATTATATAAAAAAAACGTTTCCATTTTTTTTATTGATAACACTAAAACTGATCAAAAGCTACTAAACAAAAGAAAATAAGGTACTTCTTTACAAAAAGAACATAAAGACAAACAGACGAAAAATAGGTACCAACTGACTGTCTTGTCTTTGCCTATTTATACTCATATACTCGTATAGACGCTCGTTTAGTAGGTTTTCATTTTAATCGCGAGTACCATAAAAATGTACAAGATGGCGCTATACAATATTGTCAGCATGAGAGCAGATAGAAAAAGGCTCTAATAATCAGGTGTTACAATGTGATTATTTTTTTCAGAAAACATACCTGCATATAAAGATAAACGTAAAAAGCAAAACCTGAATATAAAATCCGAAATCTAAACACAAAATTTAATTCAAATCGTTGGAACTGTTTTCGAGATACACGAAATAAATAAATAGATAGGTACAAGGTTTTATATCATAAGAGTACCTGGGCCACCGAGCTTCGCTCGGAGTTTTTGCTCAAGAGTACAATTTTATTTTAAAAAAAATTGAATAAATACAAAAAAAAAAACAAAAACTTATTCAATCTTGCGCCTTGGCCGCTTGAACACGATGCTTATATCCGAGCTTGCAAAATTATCGAATATAATATTTTGCGTGGAATAATGCAAAAGAAAACTGCATGAAAATTCGGAAACATGCGTTTTCCCAGACATAAAACTAATCTAGATCGATTTATCGCCCCCGAAACCCCTCGTATACTAAATTTAATGAAAATCGTTGGAGCCGTTGCCGAGATTCAGATTATATATTGATATATAAATATATATACAAGAATTGCTTGTTTAAATATATTAGATAATAGCAATATAGCCATGACTTTGTTAAAAATCAATGAAGGGGTGTTAATTAATCTAGAATACATCAAAGTTGAAAAGCTCCAACCCTTAATGGCTTATTAGGTACAAAGGAATGAAAAGTAAGTAATGAGTAAGGATGATCGTCAGATATACATAGTGTAGACAATATAAATTAAAATTCAGTGTACTTTGGCCGTTGTTTGAGAATGTGCGCTAATACTACTACGTTCATGGTCGTGAAGCTATCTGCTACTGTTGTGGCAATTTACGTTACATTTTATATTGAACTAGGAGAACCCGCGGCTTCGCACGTGTACAATCTAAAAAGACTTTTTTGCTTTATGTTATATAGCGACTCACCCTGGCTTCGCTCGGATTTGTCCCTACATATTTCTATAATAATCCCTCCACGACCGCGGACACGCCGGCGCTACAGTTAACAATAGATTTCTTAGTTTAATTAATTTCTAAGAAATTTACCTGGAGGTGTTAAAATATATAGTTTTACAATAATGCATGGAAGTGGCCCTATTTGTTGACATTTATGATTACTGCTCCGCTCCCTTGGGTAGTAGCATGATGACATACAGCCTAAAGCCTTCCTTAATAAACGGGCTACCTAATGCAGATAACAAATTTTTCAAATCGTATTACTAGTGTATAAGATTAGCGCGTTCAAACAAACAAACTCTGCCTCTTTATAATATCAAGTATAGAGTATTTTAAGTTTTTTAAGTATTCTAAGTTTAAATATTTTAAAAGTAAATCGTTGGGCGCAACAGCTTTAGTTAAGATTCGAAATATTTTTAATTAACCAAAAGAATAGACAACGAAATAACGAGCGGAGCGTCTGGACGGAATATAGCAAGCCGAAGCTGATTCTTTCTACCTTTTATTGGAGTGTTGGATTCGATTCTAAATCCAAAAGTTCTTGTATTATGTATGATGATGTTATCCTAGCCGATTCCGGCTATGGCGGCCAATTTCATTGAAACTAGCCAACTGCGCAGGAGATATTATAGTGCACAAGTGTACGCGCAGACACAAGTGCACTCTCTATTCCTGTCACTCTCATACTCCGGTGGGACGATTGCTCGACACGACCAGTGAGAGTTAAGGCGCAGGACCGATGGCGTTTACGTGCTCTCCGAGGCACGGGGGTGAAACACCGCCAACTTCCCAACTCCGGGCTGTTACTGAGACTTACTATATAGAAAGACTCAATAATTAAACTTGGCCAGACCCGGGATTCGAATCCAGGACTTCCGAGTGTGTAGCCGTACATGCTAGCCGGTGTAATGGCTATCGTATCGTATCGTATCGAGGCAGTTTTATTTTATTATGTATATACGAGTATATTGCTCATATTATGAAATTATTAAAATTATACAAAAATAAATTACAATAACTACCGATACTCAATGGCAACGTATGCAAGGTCAAGAAAGCTAATTATTTTTTAATAAGGTACAACATACTTATGTACATCAACTTCACTTAAAAATAATCTCCACTCTCAAGCTTATTAAATTTTATTTGAGAAGTATTCTGTTGTCTGTTATTTATTACTATTATAAATTATAATATAATTTATTAGTTGCTGTAGTTATAATTTCATAAAATAACCTGAAATTTGCTTTTTATAAGAATATGTAATATGTGTCCTGATTTCAAATCGAAAGCAACAAAGAGCGAAACTTTCGTTTTGGGGTTGTCACATTGTGCTTTATTTTTGTCTGGAAAAGAAAACAAGCTAGCAAGTCTTTTTAATGAAGAGGCAATCGGGAAGTTGGCATCCTATACCAAAAGTGTCAGCATTCCTTACAAGGAAGATCTGAGAGCGCCTCACCAACTTGCAGCACAGCTGCTCTGAAAGTTCGAACGATAGACATGACGGCTAATCTAGTTTGAATTATATAATTTCATAAAACTCGTTAATGCTCTTTTAACGCAAGATTACAAAGTTTTAAAGTCCTCAAAAAAGGCAAGGACAAAAAGTCTGTGGTGTTTGTATATTCACTAAAAAAAATATGTACTGAACCCATTTAATCTACTGAACCGATTTAGATTAAATTTGGGACGAAGATAGTTTGAGTCCCGGGGAAGGACATAGGATAGTTTTATCCCGGATATCATCCCTTAAGTGGGTGAAAATAGGGATGAAAATTTTGTATGGGGAATAATTTATAATATTATAGAGGCAGCGCTATGTAGTAATATATTCTTTATCGCATCTTTGTAAGCAAAATACTAAGAATTACATGTCAAATGGCAATGCATTTATTATGGTACTTTGGATAAATTAAATATCATTTAATTATAAAAATAAGATTGACGAAATATTCAAATAATTTAATAAAGCATGATGTGGTCAAAGGCCAATAGAATATATAATTTAAAAAAAGAGAAAAATGAGTATTTTTGGTAAGTAATAGAAGCTCAGTTCATCAACATTTTTATAATTATTATCTGTCTGCTTGATTTTGAAGCACTCAGTAATGGCAAAATTGAACTTTAATTGGGACTTAATTTAACAAGGTTCTTTGAGCAACAATTTAAATTAATGCTAAAACAGTACAGCAAGAAGGTAGCAGTAATTAATTTTTATTGCATGTTAAAAAAGCGAATAGGCTTAAATGACATAAAGATAAATGAAAGTAAATATATCAGTATGATTTGTGAAATAATTCGAAACATATTATAATAATAAGTATATAACAATAACCTTCATGAATAAGTAGTTATGTGTTACAAATCATTGAGAAAGAACAAAGTTATTTGTATCAAATATGTACGCGTACTCGTAAGCGCAACCAGAGGGTTAGCACTGCTTATTCGATCAAATAGTTAAATTTGCGTATTAGACAAAACTTACGGCGAAGGAAAACTTCGTGAGGAAACCTGCATGTCTGAGAGAACTTAGCAAGTTTTCGTAAGACATGTAAAATCCGCCAACTGACACTTGGCCAGCGTGGTGGACTATGGCCTGATCCCCCTCGTATTGAAGGGAGGCCCGTGCCCAGCAGTGGGACATAAAAAAAGGGCTGAATACATTAGACCAAAAATAGCAGAATTAAATCTAATAACAAGTAGGATTGTCTTAGGGATAAGTCTTAATAAATAAATATGTGTTTGTTTTAACTATACGTGTGTAAATAATATATCTTAAAAAGCAGTATTTCAAAACCGCCTAAGATTAGTAGACAGTTGAGTATAAAATACTATCTTTCGCTGCTAGTTGCATAGCACTGTAAAGGTAAATCTTATTTATTATTTAATCCTTGTGTTAAGGATTTTTGAATTACCAGATACAAATTCAATAATAATAGTTCATATAAATAAAAATGTATATGAAAATAATATATCCTTGAATTTTAAATGAGAGTGAAAATTGAGGCAACTCTAAATGTTTGATATAAAAAATTAAAGTGTTTTAAAAACCAACATATTTTTAAAATACCATTATTTTAAACACAATAAATATAAATAAGAAATATATAATGACAAAATTAATATCATTTGTATCTCAATCTATATCTCACCTTTGGAATAATAATGAGCTATTTTAATTCAACCAAATCTGAAAAGAACTAAGAAGACTAAATAAAATGTAGAGTCAAAAAGTAGCAACCAACTTTTAGAACCATTTAAAAAATCAAACCTTTGTAAATATTTCATAAATAAATATTTAATAATATAATAAATACTAAAATTATAAGCAAAAAGATGCCTGTAATATATACCAAATATTTTTTTTAATAATATTAAATCTAAATATCTTAAGATCTAAATATAAAAATAATACTTACGAATTGTTACTTATAAATCACATAATCACAATTATACAAATCCTTGTTAGATGAAAACCGTTATTTTTATAATTCCAAACTTCATTAGTCACTTTCCATGTAACTCACTAGTATCTGAATACGATGGAGCATTTTCAACTCGTCGGTGTATAAGCGCGAACAACACAACCTCTCCAGCCGCGAGTCGGGTTCAGACTGAATGGCACCTCCCCAACCGATGGGCTGCCTACGTTTTCAGCTTACTCCCTTGTACCTGAAATGTTACGAACGTAGATTTACAAAGTTTAAATAGATTTTATATTAAATTATATTTAACTAAGTATAGCTTGTGGTCAACTAACTATAGAGGTATTCTATACACTCGTGTACTTAAATATAAGTAGAACATTGTACTTTTTATAATATTAAAATTTTTTAAAGTCTTCTTGTAATAGTCATTATTATCGATACAGCGGCCGAATCTATAGCTTTTAGAATTTTTGTTTCTCTGTCTCTGGAAACGCATCACGAGAAAACCACTGGACAAATTTTGATGAAATTTGGTATGATGATAGTTGGTTATCCGGGTCAACATATAGGATACTTTTCAGAGCGAAAAAATATCTCATCTCTGAGAAATCTAAAGTAAACATTCAAACGTAGCTAGGGACGAACCCGAGCGGAGCGAGGGTAAATCGCTGGTTTTAAATAAAACCGTTTTTTCGGATGTTTTCGCGGATTATAATTTTGGTTTGAATGCAAACATGGTCACGAGAGTCTCACCCCTTATCATGTCTCTATGATAATAATATGTATAATCGGAACACATAACCCTTCGTATATCTGGAAAAAAATGGCAAAGTTTTTCATACAGTATTAACTTTACGTATACAAAACTGGTCATTGAAATCTTTCCAGCCGTATAGGGTGAAACACGATTAAACAGAATATACTCAAAAGTATTAAGGTTTTATTTGGTTTTTACATCCCCCACTTGTATTTTACATGACTATAAATAAATATTTAATGTATTAAAATTTACTTATACATAGAAGCGGCATATCTACCGGTTTTTTATTTATACCCAAAAATATTTATTAATATAAATTAATTTGGGGCGCTTTTTCATCTTTTTAAGGGTTGAATTTTACTTTTAATTTATTTGAGGAATAGGTCATCAAAATAATAGTCTTTAGCCTTAATCCTACTTAGCTTAGCTGATATTTATAGGATAATCACATAGGCTAACTTTTTGTTGACATACAATTAGTTTATCTATACTTAATATTATAAATGTGAAACTGTGTTTGTTTGTTTGTTTGTTTGTTTGTTTGTTTGTCTATCTTTTACGTCGAAATGGCTTGGCGAATTGGCGTGATTTTTTGTGTGGAGATAGTTGGAGGGCTGGAGAGTGACATACTTTTTACCGCGACAGATTATCTCTTTCCCACGGGAAAACATGTTATAATGCAATAAAAAAAACTATTTATAATCAGAATTACTTGAAACTTGGTATTTAATACTCTTCAATACAATTAATTAAATATGTGTTTTAGCATTTTTAGAGATTTATCCCAAAAGGGGGTAAAATAGAGGATGAAATTTTGTATGAAACCTACCTTTTTGAGTTTTTTTGTAGTCGGACGAGCGAAGCCGCGGGTTCTGCTAGTCATTAAATGAAAGTCAGAACGGAACATTTTAATTTAACCCATATTCTAAGAGTTATCAAAATAAGCAAAAAGTGCTAAAAGTTGTTGTTCCTCGTATGAACTATATTTTACGGCTTTATTAGAAAAATGCTAAAAAAAGATGATCTTGCAAAATTTTGATTTGATACGACCAGTGAATTTTTCTATCTTTAAGATAAGTCTTCGTAGACGAATTCTGCTTTTAGTAGTCTTCCAGTGATAAAATATAAGAGAAATTAAAATCATTTCAACTTTTATTATTTCTGGATATCTCTGGATAAGCCAGTATCGTGTTGCAAAACTTTTATATTTAAACTAGTTTTAGTTACTATTTATTAAGAAATACTTATTCTCAACAATTTATTATTTCTTTGCTTCAGTTAAAAATTACGGATAGCATCCACCCACGTCAATTCTCCGCCGACCAATCCTGACTTTCTTTTATTTATTCTTTCTATTTTTAATGTTTTTTTTATTTTTTTTCGGCCTGACCATTCTCATAATTTTTAACTGCCTGATTTATAAAGGTATCATAATTTATGCGTTCACGTCGCCAGTGTGGCCAGTATTATAAATTAATAACTGTTTTATTATACATTAAAATAGCAAAACTTTTTATATAATAAATTTAATTTTTTTAGAATTAAGAAACGAGATAGAAATCGTAAGATTTAGATTATTTATTTTATTAGTTTTCGCCTACATTTAGGCGAAATTTTGGAGATTATTGTAATCATACAAGCTTATAATAAATAATCTTCACATAGGCATCAGTAGTTGTGTTATTATTTGTTTTTATATTAGTCAAAGTTATTTTCCTGTCCAGTCCGCTGACCTGTACTTGGCCAGCGTGGTGGACTATAGCCTGATCCCACTCGTATTGAAGGAAGGCCCATGCAGCAGTGGTACCTTAAAAAGAGCTGAATACAACGTAATTATATTATTAATTATTATAGTTAATTTATTCTAATCGTTATAATTAGCATCGGTTTCTGTGCCCAATTTTTCTCTGTAGGAAGAGAGTGTAAGAAGAGAGATAATATTATCTCATCTCATCTTTTGACGACACGTTTGGCTCAGTTTATAGTGGCCCTACTTGCTGCGCCAGCGGTCGCGGGTTCGAGTCCCGCTGGGGGCATTCATTTGTGTGCTGAGCACGAATGTTTGTACTCCAGTCATGGGTGTTTATATTTATAATATGTATGTATTTAAAAGTTATATATGTATAATGTATCAACTATCTGGTATCCATAACACAAGCCTCGTAGCTTACCATGGAACTAGATGGTGTTATATCCTGACATATTTATTTATTTTATCTCCTGCGCAGATGATTTATCTCAGTGTGATTAGTTGCCGTGACTGAAATTCAGTTTGTAGGACTTTTTTTAATATTTTATGTCATATTACCTAATCAATGAAAGTGCTTTTTCTTTAACAATAACTTAATACTGTGTTTGAATTAATTAACTTTTTCTCTTGCTATTTTTAACAGTGTTAATCGATGGGCAACTATTTTTGCCACGTCAAAGTTTTTCACTTCAGAACTATTCGTATTTTTAAATTGCTTTTGAACGTAGTTGTTATAAAAGTTCAGTGCGAATAACATGTGATCATTTTGAAATAAAGGTCGAAATTTTTCTTTAGCATTGTAAGTATTTTGTTTTTTTTTTGTACTATTATTATTATCGGTTTTGTACTTGTGTGTCGTAAATAATCTTTAAAAAATAGATAAAAACATACAGTTTCTACTGCCTTCTACGTAATAATAAAGAAAAATAAGGAAAAAAGATATAATTTTTTCATAGAAGCGACACCCCAAAAGTCAAAAGTCTACACTAAGCTAAATCCAGTGATGAAACTTAAGTACTCTCTAACTATATCTTGTTTTAGTATCATGGTAATAACCTAAAAGGGAGGTGAGACAGTTGACGCAAAATAAAGCGCACATAATTGTCAAGGTGAGTACGCTTGCAATTTACCGGCGAGACATAGGGGAATGTAGTGGTTTCGAGTACACCTAGAACGGTTTAGTTTTGTGACGTAGGTAAGCATATGTTATAGTCCTGCTAGTTTACGAGCTTCTTTGGTTAGTTCATAAATATTTTGAATCATGTAATTTTATTTAAAGAATATGTGATATTTCTATGAATAATAATACATTATTATTCCCTCAACGACCGCGGACACGCCTGCGTTACAGTTAACAATAGATTTCTTAGAAATTTAATTAATTTCTTAGAAATTTGCCTGGAGGTGTTAAAAATTAAAAAGAGCCTAAAACAGCACTTAGCTAAACAATAACTATGTATATAAAGTAAATTTTAAAATGAACTATGTCATATGGAGGTAAAAAAGCTGAATAGATTTTAATGAAACTCTTTTGATTAAAGAACCTATTTTCTTAAATAACATTGTTGCTAAGTTTCATTTTAATTGGTTGCATTGACAAATAATTTTAGCTGCCATTACTTTACAGCAACAAACCATAACCCAAAGGTAAGCTAAAGTCTGAAATTAATCGTAACTTTCTTAATATTTTGGTGTTTATTGTAATATCTTTTAAGGGTCAAGAAATACATAACAATACTTTTTAAAATGTATAGTTTTTTCTTATGGCACTTCTTTTACGTCACGTAAATAAAAAAAATATTTATTGCCATTTTAAAAGTAGGAAACAATACAATTTGTAAACTTAACTGAATAAATCTAACTTATGCCAACGGATACTTGGCTGATGCTGCTAAGACCGAAATCTCGAACAGCGCGATTTTCAGTAAAAACTAGCTCCTAATACGTTAAGCCGGAGCAAGGCAAATGGACTATCCTTAAGAAAAACTTTAAAAAATTAAAAACAAAAAAAAATTGAAAGCAATAAAAACCAAGTAATAATAATAACTTAAGATTTGTTAGTGTGTGCGTATGTTTTCATATTATAAGTTTTTTTAAATAGTTATGTAGCTTTAATATTAAAATAAAACACATATTTCTGAACATGTGGCTCATGAAATAAAGAAATAAAATACTTTTCATGGGGGCGAGGACGTGGGTCGTTAGTAGTACTAGATTACAAAAGGGTCAAACTGAAGTACAAGGAAAAAATATTTTTGGTGGGCATTTTTCCGGGCATGCATGGTTAGAATAGAAAAATACAGATAAATGGTTTTTCAATCAAATTCATCCAAAAAAGTAATATAGGTCGAGTAGACTCAAAGTTACAAGTTGAGCTCTCCATTTGAGTGCTTCTATACAAAACGAGTATCATAATAGTTATGGACTCAATTGTAAAAACCGCGCAAACAGAACGACTGTCTGTAGCTGTGGTTAGCTAATATTAAATGTATCTAAGCAGTGGTAGCCCAGTGGTAATGCACTCGCTTGAGAAACCGAGTGAAGCTGGTTCAAATCCCGGGGCTCACACCTCTGATATTTTCATGTGCGAATAATTTCTAACATGATTACCGCTTGCCTTACGGTGAAGAAAACATCTTGAGGAAACCTGCATGTCTGAGAGAAACTAGCAAGTTTTCGAAAGACATGTGAAGTCCGCCAACCCACACTTGGCTAGCGTGGTGGACTATGGCCTGATCTCCCTTGTATTAAAGGGAAGCCCACCCCCAGCAGTGGTATGTAGTGGCAGTATGCAATAGTAATTTTAGCAATAATAAAGAATGTACAGGCCATATTTATGTAGTTCTGTTAATATTTGTTACACAAAAAAATTCAAACAAAAAATACGTAGAAAGTGACGACAAAGGTGGACTTACCTCTAAAAGAGATTTCTTCCAGTTAACCCATGCATGTAGGAAATAACTTTAACTAGAGGGGCAAAAAGAGAAAGTGCAAAGAAACGATAAGAAAATATATAAGAATAGGCAGAATATAAACATATAAATATACTACGGAGTATATTTTCCAATAAAAAATGATTTTGCTTGTGAAAAATGTCAAGTTTTGTTTTTCTAATGCATATTACGAACAATTGTTAAAAGGCTACAGCCAGCAGCTATGGTTGCGAGCACAAACGACTTGAATCTTCAAAGCCGGTACAGTGCTGTTATTATCTCAGTCATGCATGAAATTTTCCTACTGAATTGGACCTGCAATGCTTTAGTACAGAGTTAATCTAGGAAATAAAAGCCTTGAACTGAGCTTTACACAAATGTATCAAAATCATAATAAACTCATTTAAATATACCTACTAATCTGTATATCAATTATTTTTGGGAAAATCTAATCGAAATAGTCTTTATTATCAAATCTTTAGTATCACATGTTTCTTTGTATGCCTGCTAAATAAAAAATCTTCTAATAAAAAAAAAAATTGTTGATTTCATGGGCTTTTTAACTTACTTTGTGAAGTTATAATTATG